TTGTACTTGTCCTCCGCCATTTTATTGATTGATTTGAGAAGATCTCCACCGCCGACCCGAGTATCGCGCTTGATGAATAAATAGCGTAGATCTCGAAAAATCAATCACTCGCCGCCGGCGCAGAATAAATTACCGCCTGAATCGTAGTCCACAACTTCTTGGAGCTTCGATCTTCGGTTTCGGCTTCGTTACAGTAAACGACCGACCCACAGGCAACAGGTATTTTTTCAGACGGGAACGGTGAAGGCCTGAAGGGGGAAAGAGGGAGAGAGAAAATATGTGTAGGAGTAGGACATTGGTGGATATATTTTTTCCAATTTATCTTTGTTTATTATATATATATATTTGGTGGACTTGACACGTCGATCGACGCATAAAGTAACATACGTGGCAGACACCAATTGGATAAATTGAGTGAATTTACACTGTTACTTGCTCTCCTGGCAATCTGTCTAATTAGTGTTTACTGTTTAGAAAACTACGAACGAATGTATTAGAACTTTAGAAGGATCGTTAAAGACTAAACGTGGAACGACGGGGTTGGTTTATTGTTTCTACCAAAATAAAACTGGTTTATTGTTTCAACTAATGACGTCTAATTCAATACTTATAGTTTAGGGTTGTAAATGAGTCGAGTAAAGTCGAGTTTTAACATTATTTGAGCTCAGCTCGTTAATATACGAGTCGAGTGTCAGAAACATATTCTTGGGGGGGGGGGGGGGGGGGTATTTGTCGTTCATTATTATTCGGACATTTGATATTATGTTGGGTATTTTGAGACTATTGGGGGTTATTCGGTTAGGTTAATATTCGGGTAGCAAGAGGGAATTAGTCGAATTATATATATTCTGTTAGGAGAAGGATAGAGGCAAGCAATAACACAACAATTATTCCCTAAGTCTATTTCTCCCTCAACCCTAGCCGAAACCCCTCTCCCTCACCCTAGCCGTCGGCCACCTCCTTCCCGGAGCCCGACCTCTGCTTCTCCCTCACCTAAATCCCTATTCTTCCTCATCCAAATCCCCAATTCGCATATCAATCCTAAACCCTAAATCGCACACCTAGATCCGTGATCTTTCTGTGGTATCAGAGTCTGGCTGGTGTGCCGATTTCTTGAAGAGTTCCAGAACGGTGAAGATGACAAACCTGACGGACAAGCTGCAACACCAGCGATCGAGCAAGAAGGTCGTCACGGTGAAGGACGTAACGGTAAAAAACTATGATATTATCATCATGACGCATGAAAACCTAACGGAGTCCACCGAGAGGCCAGCCGCCGCATCAAAGGGGTCGGTCGAAGCCATCGAAGCCCTCGGAAATCATATCAAGGTATCGATAGAAGAGATAGGCAAGAGCGTGACCGAGAACTTATGCCGGGCCTTATCGGAGACGATGAGGGAGGTGCTGACCAGCGTACTGAAAAGCCGTGACCAGCCGCAGGGACCGGTGCGAGGGGCGGCGGTAGCGGCCGGTGCTGAGGAATCCAGCAACCTCGTCGACCATGCCAGTCGAGGACAAGGCGGCGGAGCGGCAGCTGGTGGGAGCCGTCGCTGGCGACGACCTCAACTCGACTGGGGCGGCGACAAGTGCGGCTGGAGATGGGAAAGAGGAGGAGGGCCCGGTGTTTAGCGGGCTGGGCTTGCTGCCAGCCCTGACGGCCTAGGAAATCTACGAGAACCGAGAGAAGAAGAAGATGGTGGAGTTCGAGGGAGAGTCGTGGCCGACTGGGTCGCGGAGGAGCGGAGTGGGGTTGCTAGGTGGCCCAAGCTTCCATAGATCGGGCCCCAGGAGAGAAGACGATGAAATGAGCTTCGCAGACCGGGAAGGCTGTAGGGTGGATCCAGGACCGGAAGGGGATGGAAGGGATTGGGTCACCGACCCGCGGTCGCGCCAAACCGAACGGCCGCCCGGGGTAATAACCGGTCAAACTGGAACTGGTCAGACCGGTTCAAACCAACCCGAACCGGGTCGACCGCCGAGGCGCAACAGCTGGGGCGCGACTGGCGGAGGTGCTGGCACGGCTAGCAAGGATCCGAGGCGGGGTATCCTCCGTGGAAAACTCCTTGAGCGGACAGGAGACGAAGACACCAAGGTGTGGAAGTTGGGCAAGGGTCAGGAACCAAACCAGGGCCCGACGAAGGTTACCAGAGGGAGCTGGCCGACTGGGCCTACTCCCACCAGCGAGTTGCTGAGGATGACTACCGTCACGGTGGTTCAGGTCGTCAACCACCACACTCGGACGTAGGCGAGTATGGTTACCGTAACCCTCTGTATGACTATGAAGATGAGCTGGTGTTCAGGGCTAAGCCCCCAGTGATCGAGTTTCCTAAATTCGATGGTAGTGGTGATGTGGGACTGTGGCTATATGCGGCTGAGAGGTGGTTCAGGAATCATCCGATCAGGGAGGAAAGGAATACGCAATTGGCGTCCTTCTACCTGGAGGGAGATGCCCTCGAGTGGTGGGAGTGGACTGAGAGGGCTTATGCAGCGGCAGGGGATAACATCGCCTGGCCCAGGTTTCAGGATGAGCTGCATTAACAGTTCGGGAGAGCCGAAGGATGGGCGCCGGAGCAGTTGGCCAAGTTGAAGCAGACAGGGTCGGTAGCAGAGTATCGTGCCGAGTTCCTAAAGTTAGGGAACTAGTGCAAGGAGATGACCGAGGAGAAGTTGGTGGGACTCTGTATGGCCGGCCTGCGACCGGAGTTAGCCTCAGCGGCCAAGGTCTTTGAACCCGACTCTCTCTGGGTTGCCTTCAGGCTTGCAGGACGCAAGGAGGAAGAACTCGCCAGCTGGAGAACGTCAGTGGGAAGGATCTAGAAGGCAAGTGGTGGAGCTGGGATCGGCGCGGGACAAGGGACTGTCACGTCCTCGCCACCAACAGGAATTGCAACTCCAGCGGTCGTCGGGGCTACTCCAGGGGGCCGTTTCCCAGCAAGAGGCTTCCGCCAAGAGGATTCGTCAGGCTGACTCATGTGGAAATGGACCAGAAGCGCAGGGATGGGTGCTGCTTCAATTGTGATGAGAGGTATACCGTGGGGCATCAGTGCGCCAAGGGGAACCTGATGCTGCTAATCGGAAACTTGGAAGACGAAGGAGAGGAAATGGAGGCAAATGAGGGCGAGGCAAGGAAGGAGGAGAAGAAAGAAGGTCCACCTTGAGGGCAAGGTGGGTTTCAAGGGGGATGGAATGTCAGAAACATATTCTTTGGGGGGTTTATTTGTCGTTAATTATTATTCGGGACATTTGATATTATGTTGGGTATTTCGGGACTATTGGGGGTTATTCGGTTAGGTTAATTATTCGGGTAGTTAGAGGGAATTAGTCGGATTATATATATATATATATATATATATATATATATATATATATGGTACAGGCTAGCGTATGTCGGTCGTACATTGTACGCCCGTCTAGTTTTACTATTAGAGTACGAATTAACCGAAGTTTGGGGCATGATACTATACCCTAACCTCTAACGGATGAATCCCAGTCCCTAATTCTCTAACCCAAGCCACAAGATTCATTTAATCTAAAAAATAATAACCGATGGTTCTGATTCAGCGAAATATATTAAAGTGCAAAAATCAAGTGTGAACGCAGGCGTACGCTAGCCTTTGCCATATATATATATAGTGTTAGGAGAAGTATAGAGGCAAGCAATAAACCAACAATTATTTCCAAAGTCTATTCTCCCTCAACCGTAGCCGAAACCCCTCTCCCTCACCCTAGCCGTCGGCCACCTCCTTCCCGGAGACCGACCTCGGCTTCTCCCTCACCTAAATCTATGTTCTTCCTCATCCAAATCCCCAATTTGCATATCAATCACACCTAGATCCGTGTTCTTTCATCGAGTTCAAGCTCGGCTTACTTATTGAAATCTTGACTCCTATTTGACTCGAGCTCAACATATCAATGTGTCGACGAGCTCGAATTGAGTTCGGTCATCAGTTAGCTTGCGAGATTGCCTCGAGCTCGGGTAAAGCATTATTTAGTTCATAATTTTCAATTATTCATATAATGTTATTTAATAGCAATTGGTATCTAAATAATCTACTATAAATAATTTATCTTTCAAATTATAAATGATACATATTTGCTTATGTACTTAAAGTCTAAACATCATATGTAATGAGATGCATAATCTAACAAACCTATGAATTATCAACAAACCAATGCATAAGCTATACATCAATTCACTCATAAGCCACTAGTCGAGGTGGCTCCCTAGCCACACTACACTATCAAGCAAGATCATAGCTCAAAGCGAGTCAGCTCGCAAATTGAGCTAAAGAAGCCATTGAATCGAGCTTGCTCGCGGGTTTTGCAAGCCAAACAAAGTTTAGCTCAAGTATGATTTGTTAGTAAACGAGTCTAGTTTTAAACAAGTTTTTCCCAAGTCAAATGTTGAGCCACTCGTGAAAAGTTTGGCCATTTTGCAACTTTACTTGATAGTGAGAAATTTTTAGGGTAACATAGGTCTTTTGGTTGGGTTTGTAAATCGAACCGTTAAGCAGAAGAAATTAAAAAAAATGAAACTGATAAGGGGCATATTGACTTCAATTAATAGAAAATCGACAACCCAATTATTTGTAAGAAAATTTGGCACAAAAAAAAAACCAAAACCGTCAACTTTCTTGTCTTCGGTTTCAAGTTAAAGTTTAACCGAATGGACACTCCTAGGGTAACAATCACTGATAATTAAATTCTCTAATTAATTGGAATTTTTTGTGTATGAAAAAGAGATGTTACAATTACAAATGAGCAGGCCTAAAGTAAAATGCAGCAAAAACCTGCAAATCCAGACAACACAAGTAGTCCCAATGTCTCTATATAAACTTTGTCAAAAGCATGGAGGGAAATTTAGTTACCTCAATCATATACCAGCCAGTCAAGGCAGGTTTACATAGTTTAAGTACAAAGTCTTGGCAGATAATCATAGCCATCAAAAAATTGACCTACTTAATCAGGAACAGATCATACGACCTAATGCCAATAATTTCTTCCTTTTGTTAGACTGCCAGAGTGCCAGTTCCACTTCCCCTAAGCGATTCCTTCCTTGATACTAGTCATTCAAGGAAGATCTATACCTGGTTAACTAATTTTACATTCAACTTCCTGGTCCTAACCATCCCTATGATCTAACTAAACATAAGCTGACTTGTTAAGAAAAGATAATAGTTGTATCAACAAGTTATTAAAGGCTGCACCTTCTCTTGTATTGCCTTGTAACAATGAAGACTGCACAAGGGGAGCTTCAACTTGGAATCTCGATACTTATAAGCATTTGTGCAATTCGGGCCTGCACATTTCTCCCTTGATGGAGGGTAGCTGCGCGATTGAAGAACACAAATCGGTATTCAAACATGATGCACAGCAGCCAAATGACATAAATAAAAAATAAAAAGCCTTTCTTCAGTACCTGCAAGGAGTTGAACTAAGTATCCGAGGCAAACCCACATCATTAGAGAAAGTGACAGTAGTGCCTGATGGACCAATGACCCATCTAATTGTATTTGCACCAAGTTCATCTCCCTTACTAGCCTTTACCTGAAAAGTCAAGCAACTTGGTAAGATTAATAGCGAAAAGTATAACAAAACCAAGTGCTGGTCGTGGATTTATGAAGCACCTGAGCTACATCATCCCTCTGTTTCTTCATCTTTTCTTCCTTCTTCTTCCTTGAAGAATCCTGGCCCAAAATCTTCCTGATAGCCTCAGCCTATGCAAACATAAGACAGTTAGCATGCTATTTTCACTAGTAATCAAGATCCATGCAGCTAGAAGAGGCAAACCTCAGCCTCCTTGGCAAGCTTCTCTGCGTGCAATTTACGCTTCTGGGCAGCCTCAGCTTTCTTCAACTGCTTATCCACATCAGGGAAATTGGCCTTTGATTCTGGCCATCAGAAAGTAAAATTCAGAATAACAAAAAAATAAGTTTCCTTCTCATAGGAAAGTAAAGACAGACGCAACTCACTTTTCGGAGCATCTGGCAAACCATCTGGGAATTCAACCAAAGCTGAACTAGATCTCAATGAAACATCTTGTTTCACCACACGATCTCTGTCATTCTTTCCTTCTACAAAACCCGACTTCTTGATCTTACATTCAGGCACATCATCCGATGCCAGTTCTTCCTCTCTTTCTACCATATAGACATCATCTTCAACAGGCTTTTCAGACCTCTTCACTCTCCCAATGTCTGTAACTTCCATAATTCCTGCTTCTGTTCCACCACCCTCGTAGTCTTCACAATCTGCAGAAACCCTGGTAGCATTGATCCTTCCAAGGTAACAAATCTCCTCGTCCATATAATCATCATCTTCATCAAATCCGAGATCCAGCTTACGTCTCTTAGGAACTCGTTTACTCTTACGAGTCGGTTCACACTCATTCTCATTGGATATCTTTCCTTTCAAAACTTTCTCCTTTCCAAAATTAGAGTTCTGAACACATCCAACAAAACAGCCAAATTCAAACCGCATTAAAGATCATTGTCGTTGTCATCATCATCACAACATGCTTGTTCATTAATTCCATTTCGCTTACCTGAAAATGTTGTTTTTCTGTATGCTTAGAGGCATAAGACGCGCTGGCACCACCATTCCCATATTCAGCTGCAGCTTTAGTGTGTATGGTCCGAGTAACACCACCAACTTTCAGCTTCAACTTCTTCAAACCATTCTTCTCACCAGCCGTGTGTTGGCTCAAACGCAAACTCTCCTCCCCGTATCCAGCACCTGAAGACTGAGCAGAAGTGGACTGTGGAAAGAATCCGTACGTACCTAGGACTCTCTGTGGCTCAGAACAAGGCCGGCGAGTTCCACAACTCCTCTTCTTCCTGGCTATGAAGCCAAGGTCAGCAATGGCGATCCCATTCCCTGGAGGGCTCCCCATTTCATCCAATTCCCGTTAAAACCTGGAATCCTGCCCTTTCAAGCACGAATGAAGCACAATAAGACCGAGCTCCAACATTAACCAGTAAAAGAGCTGACGAATCACTACCACAAAGTGAACGAATAGACACAACTAAAACTCCAGAAATCAACACAATGAAGCAGAAAACCTAAATTCCATGGCGGGAGGAACTAATTCTGACCAAGTATATGCAGAAACCACGCAAACGGGGACCAAAAAATAAGGACGCAGAACGACAGATTCAGCAGCGGGAAAATGTACGTCATCGACCAGGTCTCCGGACTCAAAATCGCCATGAATACGGAGACTCGAGGTCGCCAGAAACCCTAGAACAGACGCTGTGTGACCCCAAAACAAACAAAAAAATGAGAGATGGCATGAGAACCTTGTGAGAGTGACGAGAGAGAAGGCGAGCGAGAAAGATGTTGTTGTTCGCCGGCTCCGTTTGCTGGATTTCGGGGAAATTGTGCGAGGAATTCTGAGAGCGGAAACTTGGAGAGAAGGGTCAGGAGGGATGTCGATGGAGTTTTGCCATGTTTGGAATGCTGTGTTTTGGGAAAGGAAGCCCAGCCTGCTGCTCCAACGCCTCTTTCATATCTGCTCCATTTTCCCCCTTTCCCCGTCCCCGTCTAAAGGCGCGCTCCCTCCCTGCCTTTCGACTCCTTTCCCGCACAAATGTTGGCGAGTTGGGATTACGTTGTTCAAGGTCACTTATAAAATCAAAATCCATCAATTGAAATTTGCAATATTGGAAGTGCAAGGGCGAGGTATTTCTATAGTTTTAAGGACAAGGACAGGGAAACAAACGTGCGGATCACCTACATTAATTAAAGCCCAAGAGAAGGTTACTTTGTTGTTTTCTAAAGGTAAGGGCAAGTGGGTAGTAGGTTTTAGGGATGACAATAAAACTCAAACTCACGGGTACCTATCCGATTTAACCCTGTCAACGCGGGTAAAATTCGTATTGATGGTTTTTTGGTTGGGTTTGGGTTTAAACCCATTCACTATTCACTGGGTTGGGTTTGGGTTTGGGTTTAGATAAACTCACTTCATGGGTACCCGCCCAAACCCATATAATTAATTTCTTGGTATATTTAATATTCTAAACAACTAATCTTATATATGTTTTGTGGAGGCATGTCTAATTTTTTCTTTCTAATTGTGTAGGATAAAGTTGATGTAATCGAATGGAGAGTGAAGAAACTTAATTGAAAGGAAGAAAATTTCAATTAATCATGTTATTTATGGTTAATTTGTGATTGGCTTCAATTTTCTTGAGTTTCTAGATTGGTGTTGAACAATTTGTATAGTTAATTTGTGATTTGCTTGAATTTTCTAGAATGGTGTTTTATATATGGATAATTTTTATTGAGATATTGATATTTGACTTTAATTTTGATAGGAACTTATTATTGTAAATTTTTTAAGACAAAAACCCGTGGGTACCCATGAACCCGCGGACACCCAGCGGGTTGGGTTGGGTTTGAGTTTTTCAAACCCAGTGGGTTTTACCCCGGGTTTTTTTTACGGATAATCTATGGATTTGGGTTTGGGTTTGACAAAACCCGGCCCAACCCGACCCATTGCCATCCCTAGTAACTTTACTAGTCCACTACTCATGGTATAGTGTGGAAGGGTGGACGTTTGTGTCGAAAATGGTATTTCTATTAGTATAATATTGTCTGTTTCCAGTCAAGTACGTACGAATTTATTTTAAAGTATCATTCCCAAAAATCTTGTATGAATTGGGCTAGGTTAGTGGTGGCAATGGGGCGGGGTAGTTACCTAAAAACTCATTCTCTACTCACACTAAATGTGGGTCAGATCGGGTAATATCTGTGTGGATACTGGACGGTGCATGTCGATCCATCCTTATATGTCTATTTAAAGAAAAAGAATGTTGATATTCAATTATTTTACAAGAAGTCGAAAAGAAAATACTTTATAAATGAATCATAGTTATAGTAAAAGGAGCAATTTAGTATAAATAGTTGAAAGTTGGAGTCTTAACATTTATTTGGGATGAAAATATGATTTTAGAAAAGTAAAAAGAATAGTACAAATAAATATTGATGGAAATCATAATAGAACCAGTCAAGAACGGGGCGGGCAGATCGAAAATAGTACTCATGTCCTGCCCCACGCTACTACGGGTCGGGTAATAACAACATGAAACAGGTCAGGACAGGTCGGGTTGCACAAGTTAGGTCAAGAATTGTCATCACTAGGCTAAGTAGACACTTATATACAATGGTGTTTTCCCTTATATTTATGTTGTGGTACTTGGATTGTATCCTAGTGACTCACTCCTACTGTCACTCTAGAAAATGGCCAAGTATAACCACTTCCTAAAGCGTAGTATAGCGGGTTTGGGTTTTATTGTCAACCCGGGTCCTAGATTTGATGACTAGGTGAATTCTTGTTATCTAGCAGTGAAACTTTAGTGCAGGTTCAAACAAACAAAAACGCAAAACAAGTTAAACGGTTGTTTCAAGTCAAGAGAGGTCACCCGGATATGGTTCCCCCTAGACTGTAGTTAAGCCGGATTGCAATTTACCAAGTTCAGTTTTCATGAAAGTTATACTGCGGAAGATTCTAAAACAGTCTGAAGTCTCGACTAAAGGTCTCCAGACCCTCTCAATCTGAGTCTCCAGCGGGCGACTAACCTCCACCGGAGTAAACAGATTGAGGCCCTAACGAACAAAACCTCCACTACCGAAGTGAATTCGGTACAGAATAGTGAGTTGGCTGCTCGACTAAAGTCACCAACTCCCTACCTTCAATTAAGGATGCTCTATCAACCTAGGCAGATATTCTCGTTCTAGGTCAAAGCAGAAACAACAGGAATTTGATCAGGATTCAAGTCATTCAATCATTCAAACCTCAATCGAATATAATCAATTCATAAACTCTGTACTTGGGTTCATATAATCAGACCTAGCATACAAATCTAGGGTTCTCCATATCCAGATGAATGGGGAAACTACTCCATAGAGAAAGAAGCAAAAGCAGCTTCAGACTCGGAAATCATACTGTGAAGGATGGATTTCTGCTCCTGGACGTTGATCGGAACTTCTCCAAGCTCAAGCCGGGCTCCAATGGTGATGAAGATCAAGCTATGGCACTTGGGAACTCTGGTTTGTCGCTTTCTCTCTCTAGGAATCGCTCTCTTTCTCTAAAACTCGGAACCCTTGAATGTTGGCCTTCTTCTCCTTTAAATTGGCTGCCTGTCGCGATACCCGGTCGGGTATTTTGGGTCTCGACCGGGTATTATTTAAAACGCGCGTTTCAGTCGAGGGAAAATCCCCGGTCTGCTCCAATAATCCCCGACCGGGGATTTTACCTTCACGCCCGGGTCCCTCTCTGTTTCTCACGGGCACCCAAACTGATAAATACCCGGTCGGGTATTTAGCCCCACGGCCGGGTATTTTCCTCCTGCAGCCCCCTTCGTCCCAACTTTGCTCCTTTCGACCCATAACTCGTTTCTCCGCCTCGATTCCAACGCCGAGTCCTGAAATATGACATAAACATACAATCTAGCGTGAAATCGGCTTAAAACACGAGAATCCGCATCTCAAACGGCTTCAGAATAGGGGTGAAAACATGTGTAATTATCGGTCTATCAAACTCCCCCACACTTAACCGTTTGCTTGTCCCCAAGCAAACCTAACTCAAACCAATGCAACTCTCCAGACCTCTATAGCAACAAACAACCTCGATCGTAGGTAGAGGACTTCCTAGATCATTTAGCATCTTACGAGGTCAACCGACGCACAAGTCATCTCATAGCTTCTTCGGCGAGAGCACTAGTCTCGAGTCGGCATCATGGCAAATAGTGAACAGAGGACAAATGAATCGTGGATGAAAAGACTCTCAAAAACAAAAGATCATGGACTCACATTTTTTAAGGTGCTCGATTTTCTTCTTGAAGATGGTTGGAACCCCTTTTCTTTCTTCTTTTTGCTTGTTTTTCTGTTTTTTTTTCAAGGGTTCCAACCTGTTTTTCGGAAAATGGGGCTCCCACCTAGCAAAGGTTTTGCGGGAGCCCAACTCTTACCGACTATGTCAGGAGCAGGTGTCTCGAGCCTCATGCGGGGGAAAGACATGTAAGGGGGCTGGAGGTAGTAGGTGGAAATTGGGAACGGATTCCCGTCTCCCCTTACACACTTTCGCCCTATTAGCACGTGAGACGTCATTTTAAAGCACATTTTCGAGCACCTGTTCAGCTTCAAAACATGATACAAGAGTCCATGACAGGTAGAGCGTCCACAACACCACACAATTCAAGGGTCCTAAGATCACTAATTCGCTCAATCAACCAACACAATATGAAGAAGAAATGAGACTTCTTAAATGCATCAACATCCTCCATAGTGCTACACTACCTCCCTAGGTTGCACATTACTACAGAGACTATCAATTCAAAGCATACTGAGCAGGCAATTGCAAGGAACACGTACTTGGAGCCCTCAAATTTTAAAAATTTGGACAGTGGACTAGGCTCCAAGCACACAAACAGATCTAATGCAGTCAAAAGGTGAATGATTCCACCGAGTGGTCCAGTGGTGATCCTCTGGAGGGTGACAAGCCTGGAGCAGGTGCTCCGAGTACTCCATCAATCGGCGGCCTCGATCTCTCTCCCGCTCGATGAGAGCACCAGTGACTCCCATAAGTGTCTCCAAGCGGCCGAGGCGCTCGTCAACAACCGTCAGCCTGGAGTGGTACTCGGCCTGGTGGGCCGAATACTGCTGGTAGAACTGTACCTGATGGTCCATGAGCTGCTGGTTCTGGAGACCGAGCTGCTGGAACTGTGACTCACTCCTACTGTCACTCTAGAAAATGGCCAAGTGCAACCACTTCCTAGAGCGTAGTATAGCGGGTTTGGGTTTTATTGTCAACCCGGGTCCTAGATGTGATGACTACTCGGTGAATTCTTATTATTTAGCAATGAACTTTTAGTGCAACTCAAGCAAACAAAAACACAAAGCAAGTAAACGATTGTTGTCAAGTCAAGAGAGGTCACCCGGATATGGTTCCCCCTAGACTGCAGTTAAGTCGGATTGCAATTTACCAAGTTCAGTTTTCGTGAAAGTTATACTGCGGAAGGTTCTTAATTAGCCTGAAGTCTCGACTAAAGGTCTCCAGACCCTCTCAATCCGAGTCTCTAGCGGGCGACTAACCTCCACCGGAGTAAACAGATTGAGGCCCTAATGAACCAAACCTCCACTACCGAATAGACTTCGGTACAGAATAGCGAATTGGCTCCTCGACTAAAGTCACCAATTTGCCACCTTCGATTAAGGGTACTCTATCAACCTAGGCAGATATTCTCATTCTAGGTTAAAGCAGAAACAACAGGAATTTGATCAGGATTCAAGTCATTCAATCATTCAAACCTCAATCGAATATAATCAATTCAAAAACTCTGTACTTGGGTTCATACAATCAGACCTAGCATACAAATCTAGGGTTCCCCATACCCAGATGAATGGGGGAAACTACTCCATAGAGAAAGAAGCAAAAGCAGATTCAGACGCGGAAATCATACTATGAAGATGGATTTCTGCTCCTGGACGTTTAATCGCACTTCTCCAAGCTCAAGCCGGGCTCCAATGGTGTTGAAGATCGATCTATGACGCTTGGGAACTCTGGTTCGTCGCTTTCTCTCTCTAGGTATCGCTTTCTCTCTCAAAAACTC